TCGACGCGCTGCGCAACCCGTCGCGCGCGACTGGGTGATTCTGCAAAACCCATCGACGCGTGATTCGCCACTCCGTCGGCGAGGAGCTTGGGGATTGGCGACGCAAATGTCGATTGGTTTCGCCTCGCCGATCCGCTGGCCCCACAAGATCTGCCGCCGGCAGGCTCCGCCAGCGGCTGGAGCGCGGCCCCACTCAAGCTCTGCGACGGCTTTTGCGGCCCCTCGCCTCCAACGACCGCCCGCGCCACCGCCGCCCGAAGTCGGCCGAAAGCGCGCGATGCTCGAGGCTGCGCGGGCGCAAGAGGGGGCGACTTTGCAGATTGCAATGCGTTTAATGCCGCCCAAGGGGCCCCGCGACCGCCCGGGCTCCAAGACTGCCCGAGAGGTCCCCGAGACGGCCAAGGAATGCTCCGAGACGGCCCAGGAGGCGCCCGCGACGGCGCCGACGGACGCACCTGCCAGGGGCTGCTCCGCAGCCTGGCCGCCCCGCGCGCCATTCGCGGCGCCGCCGCTTGACGGCGCCCCCTTCTCCGCTGTTTTTCCCCGACCATCCCGCGGTGTTGGGTCCTTGTTTTGAAGAGACGGTGCCCCGCATCTCCCCCCCCGCTGCCCCCTCCCCCCCCCCGTCCGCGTCAGCCACGCCCACTTCGGCACGCCCCCTCGCACGTTTCGTGGCCCCATAGGGAGCTCCGCCGAGGGCTCCAGTGGCTGCGTTCGCATGGCGGCACCGCGCCCATTTCGGCACACCCCTCGCGCGCTTCGTGGCCCCATAGGGAGCTCCGCCGAGGGCCCCAGTGGCTGCGTTCGCATGGCGGCACCGCGCGCATTTCGGCACACCCCTCGCACGCTTCGTGGCCCCATAGGGAGCCCAACCGAAGGCCCCAGTCGCTGCGTTCGCATGGCGGCACCGCACCCATTTCGGCACACCCCTCACACGTTTCGTGGCCCCATAGAGAGCTCCACCGAAGGCCCCATTGGCTGCGTTCGCATGGCGGCACTGCACTCATTTCGGCACACCCCTCACACGTTTCGCGGCCCCATAAGGGGCCCCGCCCAGGGCTCCAGTGGCTGCGTTCGCATGGCGGCACCGCGCCAATTTCGGCACACCCCTCACACGCTTCGTGGCCCCTGAGGGAGCTCCACCGAGGGCCCCCGCGGCTGCGTTCGCTTGGCGGCACCGCACCGGCACACCCCTCACACGCTTCTTGGCCCCATAGGGAGCTCCACCGAGGGCTCCCGTGGCTGCGTTCGCATGGCGGCACCGCACCCATGTCGGCACACCCCTCGCACGCGTCGTGGCCCCATAGGGAGCTCCACCGAGGGCCCTAGTGGCTGCGTTCGCATGGCGGCACCGCACACATTTCGGCACACCCTTCACATGTTTCGTGGCCCCATAGGAAGCTCTACCGAAGGCCCCAGCGGCAGCGTTCGCATGGCGGCACCGCACCCATTTCGGCACACCCCTCACACGTTTCGTGGCCCCTGAGGGAGCTCCACCGAGGGCCCCCGCGGCTGCGTTCGCTTGGCGGCACCGCACTCATTTCGGCACACCCCTCACACGTTTCGTGGCCCCATAAGGAGCCCCACCCAGGGATCCAGTGGCTGCGTTCGTATGGCGGCACCGCGCCCATTTCGGCACACCCCTCACACGATTCGTGGCCCCATAGGGAGCTCCACCGAGGATTCCAGTGGCTGCGTTCGCATGGCGGCACCGCACTCATTTCGGTACACCCCTCGCACGCTTCGTGGCCCCATAGGGAGCTCAACCGAAGGCCCCAGTGGCTGCGTTCGCATGGCGGCACCGCACCCATTTCGGCAAACCCTTCACACGTTTCGTGGCCCCATAGGGAGCTCCACCGAAGGCCCCAATGGCTGCGTTCGCATGGCGGCACCGCACTCATTTCGGCACTCCCCTAACACGTTTCGTGGCCCAATAGGGAGCTCCACCGAGGGCTCCAGTGGCTGCGTTCGCATGGCGGCACCGCGCCCATTTCGGCACACCCCTCACACGTTTTGTGGCCACACAGGGAACTCCACCGAAGGCCCCAATGGCTGCGTTCGCATGGCGGCATCGAACCGGCACACCCCTCACACGCTTCGTGGCCCCATAGCGAGCTCCACCGAAGGCCCCAGAGGCTGCGTTCGCATGGCGGCACCGCACCTATTTCGGCCCACCCCTCACACGTTCCGTGGTCCCATAGGGAGCTCCACCGAAGGCCCCAGTGGCAGCGTTCGCATGGCGGCACCGCACCCATGTCGGCACACCCTCACACCTTTTGTGGCCGCATAGGGAGCTCCACCGAGGGCCCCAGTGGCTGCGTTCGCATGGCGGCACCGCGCCCATTTCGGCACACCTCTCACACGCTTCTTGGCCCCATAGCGAGCTCCACCGAGGGCCCCAGTGGCTGCGTTCGCATGGCGGCACCGCACCCATTTCGGCACACCCCTCACACGTTTCGTGGCCCCATAGGGAGCTCCACCGAGGGCCCCAGTGGCTGCGTTCGCATGGCGGCACCGCACCCATGTCGGCACAGACCTCACACGCTTCGTGGCCCCATAGGGAGCTCAACCGAAGGCCCTAGTGGCAGCGTTCGCATGGCGGCACCGCACCCTTTCGGCACACCTCTCATACGTTTCGTGGCCCCTTAGGGAGTTCCCTCTCATTCGTTCAACCTGCTTTGCGGTACTCGTAACTGCATCTGGTTGGGTCCATCGCCAGGATAATTTCTATGGCCGCCTCGTTTTTGTTTCTCCCCCCCCCCCCTCCCTGTGCACGCAGGACAACTCGTAACGCCGTTGCCTGGGTCGCTCGAATGTCTCGATGTTGCAGGCGTGGCGCGTGGGTCCCTGGGTACCCACAGGGGAAGCCACCAGGGGTGAGGGCGCTCCAGGATTCGCTCCCGAATTTTCGGGGATATCTCCACCAGTCTGCCCTCTAGACCTTTCCCATTTGGTGGCCCACTGTTCGCCGCGATAAGCCAGGCTTGACACTTGGGCACCCCCAGTGGGGGTGCCGCCGCGGGTGAGGACACTCTAGGCTTCGCGCCCTGATTGTGGGCATGTCTCCAACGGTTTGCCTGTTTCTGCCCCGGATGTATTCTTCTGTGGTGGTCCAGTGCCCGCCGCGATATAGCACGCTTGGCACTCGGGCACCTCGGATGGGTGGGGCGCCAGGGGCGAGGACACTCAGACTTGCGTGCTCCCCGCTCACTCTATCGCCCCCTCCCCGTCTTGCCCACCCAAACGCATTGATTCGCACTGGGAACTACTCATGAACACTTCTCCTCACCCAGAGTCACCCCGCCAGGTCAAACTCCCTCATCTGCAGATTACAGCATGTTCATATTCGCTCATACTTACTCGATCATACCCTGTCTCGCCCGAACTCGCTCACAACCTGACCAGATCATAATCCGAGTCACCAGTTTTCAAACTCGCCCGCCCTCGCACTCACGCACACGCAGGCTACATCGCACCCAGACCACTCGTACTCAGAAAAATACTCGTCACACACCTGCTCAAGCTCGTCCACACTAAAACACATTCCATCTCAGAGCCGCTCGCTGCTAGACTCGCTCGTGCTCTTAATATTATTCCGGCCCATTCGTACGTAGCTGGCAATATCCAGACTCGCTCGCTCCGACTCGCTTACGCTAGGATAAGATCACTCGCGCTGAAAGCCATCCGCGCGAAAGTTCGCACGCCAATGGCCACCACGATAACGCCGGCGTGGCACTGGGGCACCCCAGTTGCCAGCAGGCGCCGGGCGCCGGGAGTAGAACGCCAGAGACTGGGCGTAGCAACGCCATGCGCGCTTGCCTGAATTGCCCCGCAGGGGGTACGGCAAGAAACAATGCCCCTCGTTTTTCCACTTGTGTCTCCCTCGTCTCTCTGAAAGGATGTCCAGAATGAGATGATGATGATGATGAGGAGGAGGAGGAGGAGGAGGAGGAAGAGGAAAATGAGGAGGAGGAGGAGGACGTCTCTAAAGTCATCGCTGTCGTCGTCATCGTCGTTGCCGCGCCTATCGTCTACGCGGACTCGCTCTCAAACCCAGATGCTCATGGACAGAATTCAACAGCGAGACGTGACATGAATATGGGATACATATAATTACGGGGGTCTCCGCGTCGAGTAAGTGGGTTCCTCGAGGAACATCCCACGCTCCTAAACATCCTCAGATACCATGAACATCCGCACCAAAACGGCCCTAGAGACCCCCACGAGGGCCTCCAAACGGCCCAACACAAGGCTCCAAGACAGCCCCAGCAGCGCAAAGGACGCCCCAAGAAAGTCCCAAAACAGTCCCGAGAGGGGCAACACGAACGGAACATCCGAGTCTTCTGCCCCAAGAAAACCCCCCCCGAAGGCTCCCAAACAAAACGCTCCCAGAAGCCCCGAAACGGCTGGAAAAAAAAAAACAGAAGGCCCAGTAGAGGTCCCCTGCGACATGTAAGAGAACCTCTTCAATTCCTAGGACCCACATACCAGGCACAGTGGCGGGGTCGGCCCAAAAGCCATACGACATCTTGTCCAATGTACCCAGACATGCTCGTGTCCGGTAATTTGGCAATGTTCTGCCTCTGGGGGTCCTCATCGGGCCACGGACATGCCAAACAACGTACTCGGATGAAAAACCTGCCCCGTGGAAAGGGTCTGGCCGTGGGGAACGTATAGAGAAAACAAGACATCTCATGTCTGGGTGGGAGGGGGAAGGGTCGAGCTGGAATCGGCGATGCGTACGCTCCTGGGCCTGGGCTGGGTGGGACCAGAAGGCTCCCATCGGAGATGGAATACTGGGGGTCGATGCATCCCCCTCTGAGCCTACCTCCCCCTACATGTTCGGGCCAAAGCGCGGCTCTCCGGCGGCTCCGGCGGCCGTTCGGGACCATCTGGGCACGCGCAGCCGCTGGAAGGCATCCCGAGGCTGGAAAGCCGAAGAGAGGCGACGAACACGTCCGAAAACCTCGAACCTCGAGCCTATCACCCCAGGGGACGTCCTCCTCCCCATTCGCCGCGAAGAAGTGGAGGAACGTCCGCTTGACGGTGGCCCTCAGCGGCGGCGGCGCCGCCTGCCCGCGCAGCGCGAGCACCTCTCGGCGACTCCGAAGGGTGAGGCCTCCGAAGTATGGCTTGCAACCCGCGCCCGGGGGGGACGGGCCAGGGCCTCCACAGAGACCTCTGCCGCGCTCCGGCGAGAGCTCATCAGACCTCTGGCGCAGCGCGGTGCCCCCAAGTGCCAACGGCGCTCCCCATTGCACATCACCCAACAAACAAAAATATGCTTTTCAGCGCTAAACCGGGTGATCTGGTAGGAGGGGTGGAGGTTCACGCCGAGAAACCCGACCTTTTCGCTCTGGGTAGCCTCACATATGCCCGCGCGGGCGAGATTTGCGCACATTCTATGGACTTGCGCCACCGACCAGGGCAAACTACCCGGGAAGAGGGGGGGGGCGGGCCCTATAACCTGGGCCATCGCTGGACCTGATAAAAAACAGTGTCTAACCACACCAATCCCAGACGTGCGATGTCCTATTTATTTAAGCATGGGGCCAACAGACGTCCAGACCTTCCATCCCGGGACATTTTCTGACCGTCCCATGGCCGGGCCAGGGCCCCTAGAGGCCGAACATTGAACAACACAAACCCGTCCTCATTCTTGCCACGACGCAAGCATGTCTGGGATCGTAGTCGTGAGGGGTTTCGACATGGGGGAATAGTCAGAAGGGGGAACATCGACCTGGAATCGGCGATACATCGCCGATAGATCGGCGATGGGCCCCTGGTATTGCAGTGGATCCGCATGTTCTCGGGCAGGTTGAGCCTATCAGGTCCCTATCGGCGATGTATGGGCGATTCGGGGTCGATCCATCCCCCACTGCGCCTATCCCCTCCCTATCGTTGCCCCAGACCCCAGGAATCCGATGTCATGATTCTTTCAATGCGGGGCCCCCGCGAAAACTCCACCCATTCCCCAGGACCGGTTCTTCATGCTATGAGTCGTGGCGCTCCTGGGGCCCGGCGATGGCCCCTCGTGGCCGACATCGGCGAACACCTCCGTCTTGACCTCTTCAATCCCCTCCTCCTCGCCATCGCTCGGACGTCCATTCCCTGTGCTTTGTTCGATTTCCTGAGTGCTTTTCTGCTCGATGATGCAGGATGCTCCTCGATGGCCCTCGCCGAAAAAATGCACACGTCCGAGCGATGCCAAGCCTGTCGTTGTCCCCGAACGGGGACAGCAGAAGGTACCGACACCAGTACTCCCCAGACCTCTCCCGGGGTGCGTTGTGACAAGGGTTTCCGAAGCGAATCCGGCGGTGGCGCCGAGGGCCTCTCAGGGAAGCCCAAGCACGGGAAAGCGAGGGCGGTGTAGCGGTACCTGGGTGCCTCTTTTCCTCCTCTCATCGCTGCCCCCGAGGGTGCCGAACCTCCAGCAGGCGCGGGGCCGGGAGGGCGGTCACCGAGCGGCCGCCCAAGGCCCACGGGGGCCCCGTGCGGCGCGCGCTGGCGCTCGAGCTCGGCGGGTGCGGGCGGCCCGTGCGCCGGCGAGGCGCCCTCCGAGCCGTGCTCGGCGTGCTCCGTCTCCGCAGGGCTGGGGGCCTGGAGGCGGGCACCGAGACAAGGGGGTGGCCTCCACCGTGGGAAGGTGATCCCAGATCTTGGCGTTGGTGCTGACACTTCGGCCACCGAGGCAGCACGGATATTCTTTTGTCCACAGTCGCCGAAACCGGGATCCTCTGCCCTGGGTGGAGGTGTGCTGCCGATGTTGCTGTGGGTGTTGGTGCCAGCCTCTGGGCCTCTGATGCGGAGGCCCGGAGAAGAACGAAGGAACGGGCACACATTCTAGGATTCCCCAGATGTCTTCACATATTGTCTGGGTTGTCGCCTCCTCCCCCAACCCCGGACTTCCACATGTTCACATTTCTTCCTGGGAGTCGGCGCTTCATCGCGTCGGTGTTGTTCCCTCCTGACTGAGCTCTGAAGGGGGACCCCAACGCAGGGCAGGGGGCCCAAACCTATGGGGTCCCAGACCTGGATAAAAGATGAGCGCCAGAGAGGCCACCCAGCACCTTTCGAGGGCACTCTGGAATGCGAGGCAGGGATGTATTTGTATCCACCACCTGAGAACCGACGTCCTGGTGCCCCAACGAGCGGTGGATATTGGTACCCATCGGTCGGAAGAAGTAGGTAGAAACATAAAGTAGGGAGGCGGATAGAGTAGATTGGATTCGGGCCCGCCCAGAGAGTAACAACACGCAGCAAAAGCATCGGTTCTTGAAGTAGGAAGGCGCTTGAAGTAGATTGGGCTCTGGGAATCCCCAATACCTATACGACCACCCTTCGGGTGACAAGGAGGTTCGGGGGGGAGGAACCAACGTCTCACTCGATTGGTCTCACTATCGATCTCACTATCGATCTCACTATCGGTCTCGCTGGATCGATCTCACCCGATCGATCTCACAATCGATCTCACTCGATCTATTGCATTCGATCGATCTCACAATCGATCTGACTATCGATCTCACGATCTCACAATCGATCCCACTATCGATATCACAATCGATCTCACATTCGGTCTCACTATCGATTTCACTATCGACACCACAATCGATATCACAATCAACGTCATCACCATCATCATCTGCATCAACAACATCATCGTCATCAACGTCATCAACATCAGCATCGCAAAACCACCCGCATCACCTCATCACCATCATGATCAACATCCGCACCATCCTCACCATCATCATCATCGGGACACCTTCATCGTCAACACCATCATCATCAACATCATCATCTTCCGGGCACCATCATCATCATCATCATCAGCATCACCATCATCGCTATCGGAACACAACCATCATCAACACCATCATCTCATCATCACCATGCACATCATCATTAACATCATCATCATCATCATCGGGACACCATCATCGTCATCATCACAATCACCATCGCAAAACCATCATCATCATCACCTCATCACCACCATCATCAACGTCCGCATCATCATCACCATCTTCATCATCATCATCATCATCATCATCATCATCATCATCGGGACACCATCATCGTCAACATCATCATCATCGGGACAGCATCATCACCATCGGAACACCACCATCAGCACCAACACCTCCTCATCATCATGAACAACATCACCAACATCATCATCATCATGATCATCATCACCATCATCATCATCATCATCGGGACACCGTCATCATTATCAGCAACATCATCATCAACATAATCATTATCACCAGGTCAACATCATCATCGTCACCATCATCATCATCATCACCACCATCATCATCATCGGGACATCATCATCATCATCAACATCAGCATCATCATCACCGTCATCGGGTCACCATCATCAATATCATCATCATGTCATCATCATCCTCATCATCATCATCGGTGCACCAAAATCGTCATCGTTATCATCATCATCGGGACACCATCATTATGATCAACATCATGATCAACAGCATCATCATCATCATCACCGGGACACCATCATCATCATCATCTTCATCATCAACATCACCCACATCATCTCATCATGATCCCACCATCATCAACATCATCAGGATCATCAACATCATCATCATTATCATTATCATCATCATCATCATCATCATCATCATCATCATCATCATCATCATCATCGGGACACCATCATCATCAGCATCCGCATCATCATCACCATCATCATCGGGGCACCATCATCATCACCATCATCACCATCATCACCATGAACATCGTCAACATGATCATCATCATCATCATCATTGTCATCATCATCGGGGCACCATCATCATCACCACCATCACCATCACCATCACCATTATCATCCTCATCCTCATCCACATCAACATCGACATCATCATCTCATCATCATCTCATCATCATCATCATCATCATTATCATCTTCATAATCATCATAATCATCATCATCATCATCATCATCATCATCATCATCATCATCATCATCATCATCATCATCGGGACACCGACGGGACACTTGCGGGACACGGGCGGGTCACCGCGGGCCACCGGCCCCCGGAGAGGAAACATTTGGTCCGGTCGCGCTTCAGCCGGATGCGACTTTCTTCTCGCCCGCCCACGCAGCTTCGCCTCGCCCGCACGCACGGCACGCACGAACACGAAACCAAAACCGATTTCGCGGTAGGGGGGCTCTGCGTTCCACTTCGATCTCACCCCCTCACCTCCGACTTTCAACGACCGATGGGTATATTTTGGCCACTGGGCGGCCAAATTCGTCCTTATCCACCGCCTGCCGAGGTTCCCGAAAATTGATCCTCCAAGCGGTGGTCATGCATCAAGTCCTGCCTCGGATAGAAGCTCTTGGGAAGAACTTCCGAAAAAACGTCTGGCAAACTTGCCGGCACACGCATCGGGTTCACGTCGGACTACGTCGGGTTTACGTCGGTCTGACTCCGGAACATCGCCGCGCGAGCGTCGACCCGTATCTTACGGAACCCATGTGTGGACCAGATAGTACAACGATTCCGCGCCGCGCGAGGCATCCAAGATTTTCCTCATTTACAAAAGCCTTCCGGGACAAGCTGCAAATTCACAAGAGTCGCAGAGGCGCTTCCTGCTGGAAGCCGGAACGAGGTCCGGGGGTACCCTTGCCTGACAGCCTCTGCATCCGAAACCATCTTAGCTCTCTGACAACTATCCGAGAGCATCCGAGCAAGGGGTCGGCCGTCCCTGCATTCCTATAGGCCTGCCACGGAATGTTCTTAGAACAAACGAATGCCCTAATAACAAGAACCATGTTCTCAGAACGTAGATCCGATGTGTGAAAACAACACGGCCTCGGCCAGAACATCTCTGAGCACACTTCGGGCAGGCCAAAACAAATTCTGAGAACACTCTCCCGCGGGCCTCCAGGCGAGCCAAGACGCTTCGCCACTCCTTGAGACCTGCTCGAGCCGTCCTGAATCTTCGGCCCCTGAAGGCCGTCGCGCGGGTTCCGGGACTGGCAACAACGGCCTGGGACGAAACACCGGCCCCGGGGAAGGGAGCGGGACTTCTTGGGGGGCTCCGTGGGGAAGAAAGCGGGACACCGCACGTATGGGAACAGCAACATCTAATCGAAACATCGCATCGAAGCGAAACCAGCCTCGAATCGGCAGGCACCCGGTGGACATCGAATCGGGTCGGAATCGAATCGGCCTCGGACGCGCTCGCGTCGGATCGAGCCGATGAATCGGAGCTGACACTGCAGGGGGGGGGGCGGCCCATGGGGGGGAGAGGTCGAGGTTGAATCGGCGCGATGCATCGCCGACAAATCGACGGATTGGCCCTCCCGAGCGAAACCGGGCGGGGTGGGCCATTGGGCTGAGGTCGGGCATACCCCCCCCTACAGGCGGAGCTTGGACGACAAACTAGACATACCCCAAAAATGGCCAAACATATTCAAAACGTGATCGAAACATCGTCCCCAGGCTGTTGTCGGAGTATTCTTGAATCTTCATCCTGTACCGTCGGGGCGTTGACCCAAGGAACTCTAAATAAGGAACGAGGCCCCTTGCTCCCACAAGTTGAACCTCGATTTCCCATGGAAAACCTCAGGAAAACCGGAGACAAACTGCAGAGCCCCTCCCCAACGAAAGGGGTTCCTTCTTCAGGGCCCCTCCTGCAGAGGGACGTGCCCGACTCCACTCGGGGCCCTGACGTATCGGCGATCAACGGGCGAGCGGGGCTCGATGCATCCCCCCCTCCTCTCATCTCCTCCACCCTCCTCTCCTCTCCTGCTCCTCCATTCTCCTCCTCCCCCTCCTCCTCCAGTTCCTCCTCCTCCCTTCTCCTCCTCCTCCTGCTCCTGCTCCTCCTCCTCCTCCTCCTCCTTTTCCTCCTCCTCCCTCCCTCCCTGAGCCGATCCCCCCCCCGTTGCCCCCGGAGCCTCGCTGCACTGCCAGGGCAACAATTTCCCCGGCGCGTGGGCGAACGTGCACGCGTCGCCCCGCCTGCACTTCCCCGTCCTCGCGAAGCCCTGGCAAGGCTGGGTGTACGAGAAGTCCGGAACCGTGCGCAAGTCGCCACTGCCGTGTGCAAAGCTGCACTCTTCCCCTCGGGCGCAGTGCCCCTTCGCATGGTAAACGCACATGCGCGTCTTGTGCAAAAAACGCGCTGTAATCGCAAGAGTGCCTGTACCACAACCTGCATGTGGCATGTTGGGAGGTGTGCGGGCGGTTTGGAGACCCGTTGATAAAACACTACTGGCAATCTCCTTGGCAGTGCGCTGGAGCCAAAATCAAACGGCGTAAGCTAGATTGGTCGCGGTCGCGGTGCGGACATTTCTGAGAGCGCTTCAATTCTGCGACTCGTCATTCATTGTCTGAATCATGAATGGAACACTGGTTGGTGGTTGGAAGCGGGTAAGTCCATGTTTTCTGCATGTTTGGGCTCTCCTGGAGGGCCTCCTGGATTTATCAAGCATTATCGGGTGCTTCTTGGGCCGGGTGGGATTACATTGACCGTCTTGGAAACGTCTTGTGGCCATCTTTCAGGCCATGCAGGGTCACCTTGACAATCTTGGAAACGCTTTTGTAGCCATCCAGGACAGAGCTGGCGGGTTGGGTCGGTGCCACGTGAACCTTTTGGAAGGGCCAGAAAGAGCTCAAGGGCCTCGTACGCCAAACACCCCAAGGCATGCGCATGCATATTGGACTCTGAACTGACCGTGATGGGTGACCTCTACCACACTTTCCGCGCTTTCATGGGCGGCCTCGACCCCGAAGAGTAACTTACGAAGGTCGCGCACTGCACTTCCGAATCGAAGATGAACCTGTTCATCTGAGTGGCTCTGGCGACCTTGTTCTCCCAAGCCGCGCCATGGCCGCGGCTCGCGCGCCAAACACCCCTGTGGCAAGCCAACGGGCGCGGCGGGCCGAGCTCTTCGGGCTCTTCTCGGGGCCTTCGACCCAGCCCACCGCCGTGCCCAGGATCGCGCCGCGCCGCCGATGCCTCGGCGACGCAGCGCGACCGGCCCACCCCGGCTGGTCTGGCCCACCTGGGCCGCGCATCGCCGGTGCATCGGCGAGGCGGCACCCCATCCACTCTGGCCCCACCGCTGCTGTTAGGTCGGGCATGTCCTCCTGCAGGCTGATTTCGGAAGGAAGCATGAAAAACTCCAGAAAAAATACAAAATTGACAGACGTAGTCGAAACGTGGTCCCCAGACGAGTGTTGTACTATTCTTGAATCTTCCTCCTGTAGAGGGACGTGCCCGACTGAACGCTACTCCCCCGACCTCTCCTGGGCTGCGTTCTGACCGAACCCAGCCGTGGCGACGAGGGCCTCCCAGGAGGAGGAGGACCGAAGGGGCAAAAAACGAGGAACGCTCAGCGGCGGCGGTGTCGCCACCCTTGCCTCCCCTGCCAGGCCTCCCACCTGGCAGGGGAGGCAAGGGGCGTCGCTCGGCGCGGCGGGAGGGCGCGGCGCGGGCAGAGGGAGTGGAGTCCTCCTCGAGCGCCGTCCAGAGGCGGCGGCGCTGGGCCTGGCCCGGCCACGGGAGGTCAGGTCACGACATCGCAAGGAGGGATCAAGCCGACGCTCGCCGAGAGCGGGACTTGGACATGCTCGCGTCGCGGGGAAGACACAGCGGGTTTCTTCGTTGCCGTCGTCGTAGGACAAAAAGCCAGGACGAGGTTGAAATCGGGTGAGGATGAATCGAGCATCTTTAAGATCTGGCGCTTCTGGAATATGTCTCGGGCGCCGCGACCTTCTGAGAGCGCTCTGGAACGCTCTGAGAGCGTTCCGGAACGCTATATGCTCGTCCTGGCCCCGTTCGAGACATGCTCGCGTCGCGGTAAAAACAGCGGGTTTCATTGGTGCAGTCGTCGCCCTCCCAAGGCCCTCGCCAGGCCCGGGGACTGTCAAAAAACGATTCTGGATAAAGAGCTTGCCCGGCGAACGGGTCGGGACTTTTCTGGGGGGGACCCGTACTGAGATCGAGGCATCGCGCGCCTGAAGAGGTTCGCGTTGTCGCGTGCGCGATGGTTGCCGCTGGGATGCGGTTGCCGTTGCTGCCTCCCTCCCGCGCGTTTCGCGCCTCCCTCCTTCCCTGCCAGGCTCCCCTCTCTTGTCGTTCATTTTCCCTCCCCTCCCGGGGGCGCGAGGTTACAGTCGAAACGCTGCCATAAGGAACCCTAAATAAGGAAGAATGCCCCTTTTCCCCATGAGTTCCACTTCGATTTCCCATAGAAGGCCTAAGGGAAACCTAAGACACACTGTAAAACAATTAAGGAACAGTGGGGAAGAACAGGAGGATGAGGAGGAGAAAGAGAAGAAGGCGGAGGAGAAGGAGGAGGGGGAGGAAGAGGAGAAGCCCCTCCCCAGCGAAAAGGGTTGGTTCCTCCGCGGACCGGCTGAAATAACTGCGCCGCGCGACCCTGCGGAAAAGTCTGGGTCAAGGGCACATTCGCCCGCAAGCTCGTGTAGGGTTTAACGAGTTGTCACATGGATTCCCTGAGCTCCACCTCCTCCTCCTCCCTCCTCCTCCCTCCTCCTCCTTCTGCATCCCTCCCTCCCACCTCCCTCCTCCCTCCTCCCTCTTGCCGCCTCCCTCCTCACTCCTTCTCTTCCTCCTCCTCACGCCACCTCCTCCTCCTCCTCCTCCTCCTCCTCCTCCTCCTCCTCCTCCCCCTCCTCCTCCCTCCTCACGCCTCCTCCTCCTCATCCTCCCCCTCCTCCTCCTCCTCCTCCTCCTCCTCCTCATCTTCCACCACCCTTCGCCCGCCAGGCCGATACCTTCCCTGGCCACCCCGGCGCCGTAATTGGGACGTCACGCTCGGGCGTGCGGGGGAGAGGCTGTCGCTCCTCGTGGACGACCCAGCGAGAAGGGACAGAGCCCAGACCCCTTCGGGTCATGAGCAAACAACGATGGAAGGAGGACGAGAGAGGAGGACATGGAGGAGGAGAAGGAGGAGGAGGAGAAAGGAGGAGGAGAGAGGAGGAGGGAGGAGCAGGAGGATGAAGAGGAGGAGAAGGACGAGGCAGCAGGAATCAACCCAAAAGCGCCACGCGGCGCCGCCGCAGATTTTTGCGCCGCGATGGGGGTCGGCGATCAATGTGCGACTGGGGGTCGATGCATCGTCCGGCTCCCAGACCCCCTCGGGTTCACAACACAACTCGCGTCGGGTTTTTTTTGTGATGAAAAGCCCACGCCATGAACAGATCATGACGTCGGGTGTCTGGGCCCTGAGACTATCGCTCCTGCCGTTGCCCCTGGCTTGTACCATAACTCGGCAGGCATGCCCGCAAGGCCTCTGGCGAGGCGCAGTCACTGGAAGGCACCCTGAGGCTGGAAAACCGAATAGAACGACGAACACGTCCGAAAACCTCCAATCGCACGCCTAATCCCCCCCACCCATTACGTTGCCCCTAAGAGCCCGATGAGCCTCCCTCTCCTAGAGGGCTCCCAGAAGGAGTCCGAGTAGATGTGGTCGGGGGGTCCCGCCAATTCGCCGCTGTATCGGCGACGTCGGCGGAGCCTCGGCGACACCAGCGTGGAGAAAATCAAAATCAAACTCCACGTCGAGCTGCACTGGCGGTGCATCGGCAATGCGGCCCGATCCTCCGACCCCATACTGGAGGGCTTCCGAGAAGCCCCCGCTGCCCCTGAGAAGGCCTGCCCCCTCTGTCACTCCCCTCCCCGGGCGCGCCGCCGAGCAGCGAGCAGGGGAGACCAGCTCTGGAGGGGGGGACCATCGAGCTGGAGTCGGCCAATAAGAATAGTATCAAGACGAATAATAATGAAACGAAGACTAAGAAGGAGCAGAAGAAGAAGGCGAAAACTAATACAAAGCAACATCATAATACAAAGCATAAGACGAGGAGGAGGAGGCGGAGGATGAGGAGGAGGGTGAGCGGGATCGCCGATAGAGCGGGGTGAGCCCCCAGTGGCGAATGCGCACATTCCTGGGTGTGGTGGGGTATCATGCCCCCCTCGGCGATGAGTGGTCGACTGGGGGTCGATGCCCCCTCCCCCCTGAGCTGATCCCCCCTAACGTTGCCCCTGAATGAAACCCTTGGGAAAATGCAGAAACAGGAACTTCCGGACCCCAGCGCGGATTTCTTGGCTCAGCGCTGGGCCTCCCTGGCGGCGCCTCCGGCGCCGCGCCTGGCGCGCTCCGCCAGCGCCGATTTGAAAAATCCGCGCGGGCCGCCGAAGGCTCATGAGGGCGAGAAGTGTGTCATGATAACATTGGCTCAACATGTGTTCATTCCTGGGGTATGTAGCGGCGCAGCCCGTGTGCAACATTAGGAAACACGGGAAATCGTGGAAACCTTCACAATCCTGGAACGCATCATTCTCATGACCTCTCGCCCCTCTGACTGATGTCAATGTTGATGTTGCTTGTTCCTCGGCTCCCCTGGGGGGCCATCCTGCGCCACGGGGCCATCCTGCGCCCGTGGCCCCGAGGGGCTCGGTGACGGACCCCCTTGTCGGCTACAGTCGAGGCGTTGACCTAAGGAATCCTAAATAAGGAACGAGGTCCCTTTTTTCCACAAGTTAAACTTCGATTTCCGATCGAAAACATAAGGAAAACCTGAGGCAAGCTGTGAAACACTTAAGGAACGCGGAGCCCCTCCCCAACCAAAAGGGTTCCTTCTTCAGGGCCCCGACTGTACACGCAGGAGTGACCCTGGGCAAACGTGGTCTTTGATGCGCAGCTTCAGCGGGCCGCGGGGACGCCAAATCCAAGCGCGCAGGCTTCTCATGCGTAGCCAGCATCCGCTGCCCGATCCCCAGGGTCCGTTCAAGACGAGACAACAAGAGCGAGACATCATAGGACCTGAGCAGATCGAGGATCTGATGGTTCTGGAGGATGTGTCGGATGCCACGGCCTCTCCAGAGCGCTCCTGGGGCGCGATTGAGCGCGTGCTGGAACGCTCTGCTGCAGCCTATCCCGATTACAAATTTATGTATAATATATATATATATACATATATATATAGACATGTACATCTATCTATATACAGACCTGACGGATCTTCCCCGGCGACAGTTCTTCCCCATGGACTCACGTCTGATGGCCCCAGGCCGCACCCGCAAGCCGCAAAAGAGAAACATCGCGGCGCTCCCAGGGGGGGAAAGGCAGAGGGGGCGGGTTTCCTGGGTCTCCAGCCTTCTCAGAAGCTCCCCATAATCCTTTTCTCCGAAGCCACAGGGGTTTCTCAGAAGGCTGGAGGGCTTCTGAAAAATCCCTGCCGGCTTTGCTGAACAGGCCTGCCCCCTATCGTTTACCCCC